TGGGTCCTGCCTGTGCGTTCGCGAACACCGGGGGCGCATCCGACGAAAGCTGGATGGCGGTCCCTCCTTGCCCGGTAGGTGCGTGCTGGTCACATGGGTTCTGCAATTCCTGCGTTTGCGAGAAGCGACGAGGCAGCCGACAGCTTTGCACGCAGCGTGTTGCCCACTCAGCGGATCTCTGCAAAATCCTGTGAAAGGGCAAGACGGGTAAGAGGTACGAGTAGCAGGTTGGTTGGCAAGGGCTGAGCAAGCTTTGACCCTGAGCGGCCCCTGAGCCGCATACGTCCTGAGCTTCTCTAAGCATAGAGAGCAATCCCTTGGCTCAAAGCGTGCGGCAAGCAACAACATCACTTGCGCTGAGGGGCGAAACTCGCCCATCGCCCGGGCGGTTATTTGGCACCGGCACCGGCGATCTGCCATGACACGTCGAACCCTGCACTTTCCAGAGCCCAGATTCCGCTATGGGAGCAGAATCCAGTGCAGTGAGTGAGCTGATGCAGTTCGTGATCCCAGGCCCCAAGATCCACAAGACTGCCACAAGAGCCCCAAGTGCCCCAAGTGCCCCAAGTGCCCCGAAGCCAACTTGGCCAGAACTCTGGGATGGACCTTTTAGTGCCTTCAACGTGTCAGCTGCCAGGACGGACCTTATAACCCCTTAACAAGGCCCTTTATAGGCTTGATTATGGGGATTACAGGGCCCAACAGCCCATCCTGGTGGGTATAAGCCCTGCTCTGCATCCTGTGGATGCCTCTGTCTGACTTCCGGGTCGACACTGGACTGATCCCAAATCCATCTCTCGCGAGTGTCTGACTCAGCCGTGCGCGTGTAAAGCTCACCCTAAACCCCAAACCCTTGGGTCATAAGATCAGAGGACTGCCAGCTTTCAAGGGGGTCGGTGTGTATCCTGAAAAGCAGGGCTTGCAAGAGCCGCTACCAGGCGCTCTGATGCTGTAGTATTCTGGTGTTATTCTGTGATACCAGGGGGGGAAGTGCCTGCAACAAAGAGAGAGATTCTACAGAATTTGGGGCCCTCGATTTCGAGTTGTCTTAGACACTCCTGAAAGCTTTGTCGCGCCTGAGATACGAAAACGCTCCATGTGCAAGGCGGTGGGCGGGGGGGCGGCTTCGCCGCATAGATTGCCTGGATGTAGCTGACGCGGACAACTGTGGCGCCGGGAGACCAATGCCACTATAGGTGCGACTGATGTGTGGTGACCTGTGGTGGCTGATGCCCCAAAATTTTGGTGCCCAACCCCAGGCGCAGCCGGACATGTTGGTGGCATGCTGGCGCATGGCGGGGGTACAAGCGTCCGCGCATCTTGCCAGGACCACTCCTCCCATTCCTCCCATTCCATTCCTTGTGCCCCAGGAAGGTTTCAGGGTTTGCACGTGCCAAGGACATCCCCCCCAGGCCCCACCATGGCCCTGCCAAGGCCCAGGACTTCTGACGGAGACGTTGTTGTCGGTCATGGGGGGGCACCATGACCCCTGCTGGGTGCTTGTGCTGCAGGGGCTGTAGACACTTGCCAGTTGCCAAAGCCATGCCAAGCAATTCCCAAAGCTTTCCCCCAAGCCCCCGAAACCCGAAAGCCTTTTCTTCCAAGCTTGCCCCCAACCGCTTTGAACTGTCCCCCTGCACACGTTGGCTCGAACAACATGAGTCGAGTCACCGAGGAAGGCTCGGTGGAATGGTTCCCAAGCTCGATAATTGCAATGAAACTGGTAGGGCCACGGTTGCAAGTCTAGGCCTAGGTATCCTGCCATTATAACGGTGCAAGGCGCAGACCCCTACGGCCCCCACCCTTACTCGCACGGGCTTGTGTGCACCACGCTCTCCGGTCCGATTCTGAGCCTTCACTGCGCAAGACGACGTTAGGTTGCAGGACTCGGACCCGTCCGATCCCCCGAATCTCCTGGCCCAGAGCTTGAAGAAACTTTGAAGTCTGGGAGACAAGGAAATTCGAAGCTTTGCCTTCCGGACATGTCTCATGCGATTAAAAAGAACTGGCCAGAAACTTGGCCAATGACATCTTCTCGCACCCCGAAGGCGGCGCCATAAGGCTCTGACCCTCACGACGCGTCGCACTCTGAAGAAACCCTAAGCCCCAAACCCCAAACCCCAGAGCCTGAACTCTACACCCTAAACCCCACACCTGAACGTCGGCCATGTCGGTGAGCTCACAAAGACCCACTCTGCATTTTCTCTCGGGACGGGCGGGGCAAGGGGAGCTGCCCCTTCGCTCTGTGAGACACAGCGCCCCCTCGGCAACCTTCTGCAGGATTCAGGGTTTTGGGTAAGAAGTGAGATTTTGGGGTCGTTGAGGCGTTCGGGGGTTCCTAAGAATGGCTCTCAGAACTCCCAAAAGGCTCCCGAAAGCTCGGCCGAGGGCGCGCCCGAGCAGAGTCGGAGAGCGCGGGTTTTCTGAGAGAAGTGCGCTTGTGGAGGGAGCGCTTCCGCGCACCTTTGACAAGAGAGTCCTTTTTCGTTTTTCGCAGGGGGCGATCGCCCATGGAATCACGGGGTAGGATTTCTCTTGAGGGGAAGCGCGCTCCACTTCGCGCGACACACTCTGCGCACACATTGCGGGCATGGCGTTGGACCTCAACCATGCAGTGCTTGCCCAGCCGAGGGCACGGCAAAATCGAGATGCGCGCTGGGTCTGTATCCAGACAAAAGCTTCCCCGACAGCTCATCAAACAGGGCACCAGGGCGCCCTCTTGGGCGCCTTTGAGAGAGACCAGGGACAGGAGAATGAACAGATGGTCTTCGAGTAGCAGCTTCGTCACTCAGCCTGAACCCGGTTCACGTGCTCTCCAACGTGTGCTGGAGTGGAAGACGTGCATCGCCGTCCGTCGCAAGAATCCAACAAGTGCGTTTGCAGGAGCGCTCGCCTTTGGCAGTAGCAGAAGGAGCCAAAAAATGAGAAATGTATTCAGAGTGGCACCTGGCAAACTTTCCAGGTTTCGGCCCCAAGTGCCACTGCCCTTGCAAAGAAAGGCTCAGGATCTGATCGTTAAGAAAGGACTACGCTCGCCTTAGCTTGTCCTTGTCGCGGACTTGGGGCGGACCGTTTACGCAGTTTACATATTCTTGCGTGTGGTGTTAGCGCCGAAACCCAGCTACTGTCGCAGCTCCCAGGCTACATGTCCAAGGCCTTGTTTCTCTCCCATTTTCCATCATCGCATGCACAGCACGGAGGGTACCCATGGTGACTATAAGCAATCGCGTGGTGAACGCCTAGCTGGTTTGTTGACGCTGAGCTGCAGTTGGTGCCCCTCGCGCATCGCCGCACATAGTCTTCCACTCTGCTTGAAGAGCTTGAAGTAGTTTGAAGTCATGTGGAGTCGAACAGTGGGTAACTTTGCCGGACGACTCTGGCATGTTTGGCAAGGTGTCAAGCCGGGATTCGCGTGAAAACGTGGCGTGGTGTCACCATGCAATACTTCCACGCCCGCCTCCTGTGTTTCGTGCACGGGGGGGGGCTTCCTCGGCCATAGAACAATGGTTGCGATGATCCCCTGCTTCTGGGTGCCGCATTGGGCAAATGCTTGCAGCGCCCCTGCTGTGGCTTTGCCGAACAGCTCTTGCGGCATCTGCTGCAGGAATCGGGAACCGAAAGCTGGGGTTTGGCAGACTTTGACTGAATTTGGCTGCGAACGGAAGCTTTGGTGAAGTCCGGCAGCGAAGACGCTGGATGACGAGCGGGCCGTGTTGCCGTTCTTGATATTCCGGCGGCCTTATATCTGCAACCCATGGAAGATTCTGAGAACCCAACATCTTCTTTCCGTAGGCCCCAAGATGCAGAAGTTCCCAAGCTCATTAGGGGCTCATTAGGGCACACCCCGCCACTTCGAGCTGAGGCCCGCGCTTCCCGCGCTCGCGAGGCAGCCTGGGACGTGAAAATCTTTGCGCGCCTGACAAAAGCGAGATGTGAGCGCTCCTGCTTTGGATCGGGCGGGATGTGTGGAGGGTGTGGGGGTGTGGTGGGATAGTGGTGAGTGGGGTGGGGTGAGATATGTGGGGTTATGGTGGCGTGACTGGTTGGGCGTAGTCGGGTGTGCCGGGGCGTTGCGGTGGTGTGGTGTGTGGTGTTGTGTGGAAGACTTGGCGAAAGTTGCGTAGAAGCAACGAGGAATGGGGCGGTTGCAATTTCGCAGAAAACAAGTGAAGCAAAGGAGTATAAACCATGCTGCAGGTATTTCGCCGGCTGCATGAGGGGGTAGCGGCAAGCATGCCAAACTCCTCTTGAACCAGTTGGCGCTGGCAAAATGCACCCTAAACCCTAAACCCTAAACCCTAAACCCTAAACCCTAAACCCCAAACCCCAAACCCCAAACCCTAAACCCTAAACCCTAAACCCTAAACCCTAAACCGTGAAACGGTTTGCCTCGAAACTACGTTCCCGGGACATGCTCGGCCAATCTGGCTCGGGCTCCGGCTCCACTCTCAGCCGGGCGGCAGAGTTGACGCCGCAACTGGGTGGGGGTGTGCACCATGCGCTAACCCCTAAGTCCTAAACCCAAAACCTTAAATCCTAAACCCTAACCCCTGTGCGGTGTGAGGGTTGAGGGTATCCCAATCATTTTGGAGACATGTCTGTGCATCTGCGCGTGCACGCGGATCGCTTAGACCCCGAAACCCTGAGCCTCAACCCCCTGAGGACCTGCCCTAGTCTATTACCCCCATCGTCCCCAATGCCCATGTACAAAGTACCCAAGTCTAAAGCCCGCAGCGCCTCTCTTTGTGTACATCGAAGCCGTAGGAAACTGAGTGGAACGGCATCCCAAGGGAGACTTTCGTGCGCAACTTTTGGGCTCTACAGCTTGAGGACACCTGTGCATGAGCATGTTGAAGGCATTGCAGCAGCCTTTTTTTTTTCTCCCCTGCGCAGGTCGTGGACACCAAAAGGCTGCTACGAAGGATCAGGGGATATCATGGACGCTACACCCCCGTATGCTCCACAACACCCTGTACACCCCTGTGCACCCCGGATCAGCAATGGCCACACCCTTCAGGGCCAAAGCGGCCAGCGCCATGCTGCTTGGTAGCTAAGGGGTACCCTTTTGCCCGTTTTGGATTCTGGGTTCCCTTATAACAGTACTTAACACCAAAAAGGGTGCCCTTATGAAAATGTGGTTGCTGCTCCCTAAACCCTAAACCCTGAACCCTAAACCCAAAACCCTAAACCCTAAACCCTAAACCCTAAACCCCAAACCCCAAACCCTAAACCCTAAACCCCTTCCAAGGCTGGACACCGGAACAAAGTTCCGAGTGCTGGGTGGCCGCGGCAAGAGCAAGGCGTGTCTTCGAAGGGAGGCTTTGTGTAATCCCTTCTTGGAATCCTAAACCCGAAACCCGAAACCCGAAACCCTAAACCCTAAACCCTAAACCCTAAACCTTAAACCCTAAACCCTTACACTAACAGTCCTTAAAGGGGATTATCATCGGGTGTATCATAAACCCTTTGAAGGATTGCTAGTCTAAGGGGAGCATCGCAACCTTCCCCCTCATCTTGAACCTCCCCACCACCCTAGCCCCGAAATACTAAAGACGACCGCAATGTAACTATCAGGGTTTAGGGTTTAGGGGTTTAGGGTTTAGGGGTATTTTATATCTGAGGGGGTAGGGAGGGTTTCATATTCGGGGGAAGGGGCTCGAGCCGACTCGAGTCTAGCCTCGGTAAGACTCAGTGAGAGTTGTCTGTATCTCCTCACGAGACTTGGGATGTTCAACTGTCCTTAATAGGGATTCGAGTAGGGGATACGATAGCCCCTATGAAGCGTTAGTTTTAGACATCCCAACATCGGCTCTGATTGCACCCTTCCCGAGGCCAAGGCAGTCAACAAGACTTCTGGCAGGCCGGACACCAACCTTATCACAACATTTTCATTCTCCGTGTTTTTTTTGTTGGCAACCCTCAACCCTCAACCCTAAACCCCTAAACCCTGAACCCTAAACCCTGAACCCGAACCCGGAACCCTAAACCCTAAACCCTAAACCCTAAACCCTGAACCCTAAACCCTGAACCCTAAACCCTAAACCCTAAACCCTAAACCCTAAACCCTAAACCCTAAACCCTACACAAACTTCAGCAAGGTGCATCGATGTGCAAGATTGGATGGGCCGGATGGCGGACCTTCCACGCATCATGAGTTGCCTTGTCTGCAGAGCGAATGCCTTGGGGACGAAATGAACCAATTGGAGTCATATCCCCTATACTTCTGTAATTCCTGTTAAGATATATGGGGCCTAAACCCTTTTGGGGTTCATTTAGTCCCCAAGGTATGTAGAGCCCACCAAGCACCCGGTGAGCTTGAAAAGTGGCAGGCTTGTGGAGGTGTCTGCTTCTGTTGGACGTGCAGCGGACTGCGAACAGAGCGTTCAGAAATCTCCCGGGCGGGCGGGGGGGGGTGCAGGATTTAGGTTTTAGGGGTTTAGGGTTGAGGGTTGAGGGTTTAGGGTTGAGGGTTCTTTTTGGCTTGAGTGTGAAAGAGTCCACGCGACTTCCGAGGTGTCACTCAGGCCATTTTCTTGCAGTTGGCGCGGGTGCCCAGAGTTACATGGAAGAAGGCATGCCCAGAGACTATACCTTACAATTTAGGGTATATTATCCGTTTCAATGAATATACCTAAATCATATTAGGGTTCCTGTTACAATCTCGGGTATATTATCCTTAATAATTAAGGGGCTTATACCTTATGTCATATTGCGGTTCCAACTACAATTTTGGGTCTATGATGCTTAACTAAGGTGTTTTGGAGTCTCTGGGTGCTCCATGGACATGGCACTGTGTGGAATGCCGAAAAGAGCCCGCCCTAAACCCTAAACCCTCAACCCTCAACCCTCAACCCTCAACCCTCAACCCTCAACCCTCAACCCTCAACCCTCAACCCTCAACCCTCAACCCTAAACCCTAAACCCTAAACCCTAAACCCTAAACCCTAAACCCGGCTCAGGAGACGCCCTGCCACGAGGCGTTGCTCCGCGTGGCCCTGGAGCTGGCTCTGGACTCTGAGGCGGCTCACTAGGGTCTAGGGTTTAGGGTTTAGGGTTTAGGGTTAGGGTTTAGGGTTTAGGGTTTAGGGTTTAGGGTCTAGGGTCTTGGGTTTAGGGGTTTTGAAAGCGCAAGACAGGTTGGGACACTCGTAAACCTGGGAACAAAGAGGGGGGCTCACGAATTCGGGGGTACCTTCTGGGGTCCTGATGAGTTCCCCCCATGTTCGTAAACCCCCAAATGGAACCAAGCTGTAAAGGAACTAAACCCTAAACCCTAAACCCTAAACCCTAAACCCTAAACCCTAAACCCTAAACCCTAAACCCTAAACCCTAAACCCTAGACCCTAGACCCTAAACCCTAAACCCTAAACCCTAAACCCTAAACCACTTGCTGGACTCAGCCAGGCCCGGCGCAGCTTTGCTTGGACCGCTTCTTGGTATCATGACGACGCCAAGCGCCGCTGGGATGCGATGCTGAAGTTTTCCTCAAGTGCTCGGGTTTAGGGTTTAGGGTTTAGGGTTTAGGGTTTAGGGTTTAGGGTTTAGGGCTGCAAAGTATTCAACCTCAGGAGAGATGCATTTTGCTGCCTAGAAAGGGAAGCAACATGGGTAGTTCTGCCGAGACACAGCAGTCTTCCCATTCGTTGGGGGGACCTCCCGTGACCCAGGCGAGTGGTTCCGGCACAAGGCTCCGCCGGGCTCTCTTCCCGAAACCCTGAACCCTGAACCCTAAATCCTGAACCCTAAACCCCAAACCCTAAACCCTTATATGGGCGGGCTTGCTTGGAGAAAGGGAGTCATTGCATTAAAAAAAACACCCTTTAAACCCCCATTCTGTGAAGGTCGGCTTAAGGGATGCCATGGGACCCTTGTGGCAGACTGCTCCCAAATATTATTCTTCCATTTTGGCCACTTCTCTCAAACAGGGTCGCTTTTGGGGTCCTCGTTAGAAGGCGGCCTCCTCCACAATTTAGAGACTGACCCTAAACCCTAGACCCTAAACCCTAAACCCTAAACCCTAAACCCTAAGATCAAATATCTCGCTCCCCCCCCCCCCCCCCATTGTGAGACCCAGTGTTTGCATGAGGTGAAGGAGAAGCTCCATCGCGTCTTCAGGATGCTGGAGGTGCCCGATACCAGAGAGCCCGTCGTGCTGCACATTGTATATATATATATATCTATATCTATATCTATAAATATATATATATATATATATATATCGGTAGACATATGTATATATATATATATATATATGTAACACTGTGCATATATATATATATATATGTGCACATGTTCTACTATATAAATATATACACATACATACATGCATACATACACTGATTGTATATATATATATATATATATATGCACATACGCGTTACTATACATACATACATATAGATATGTACATATGCACATGTTCTACTACATGTATATATATATATATATATATCCTTTCACGCTGCATGTTCCATTGTTGCAGGTTAGCGCAACGAAACAGACAATGTCATTCGTATGCTTTTCACGTCAGAGCAACATTCACCTTCCGGCTAGCTCTCTGCAGGAGAGGGGTTAGCTGAAGCAGGGGGTACATGTTCGCTCGCCGCAGTCTGCTATTTGGCTCAGCTTAAAGCTCAGCCCCGCCGACACTTTGGCCCCTAGGCTGGAGGCGCGATGTTGGTGATACGCTGTGCTGGGCTTCGGTTTTGCTCCATTTAGGGAGTCTGACCGTTGCGAGATGTTGCGAGCAGCTTTGTGCGTTCCGGAGGCACTTGCTGTTTCAACCCTAAACCCTACTCCCTAAACCCTGAACCCTGAACCCTGAACCCTAAACCCCAAACCCTAAACCTTTTTTGTTTATTTCTAAACAAATAATCACATACCCCTTAGCACATGCCCCAAAAACCATGCCTTATTAATCAACAACTGACCATCAACTGTTGATTACTAAGGTATTAAGTATGCCCGGCGGAACTTCACATTCCCGATGACTTTTGCTGGTCGTGATGCCTTCCCATGGCACACGTTGGGGGGTGGGGGGGGTTGGGGGGAGAGGGGGGTTGGGGGGTTGGGGGTTGGTGGGGCGCGTTTGGGCTCAGATTTTGGGGTAAAAGGAAACACGCGAAATCACATACCCCAAATCTGCGCCCCCGCCCAAAACCCCCCCCAACCCCCCCCCAAGAGCGCCCCCACCGCACCCCCCCCACCCACAGGGAGATTTCAAAACTCTGGCATACTGAGTAGACTTCAGGATTTTCGCATATTTTCGGGTATGTGGTCGGGGTATGTGATTTCGCCTTTAGATTATTATATGTTTTTCATTTTCGGCCTTTTGGTCAGCCGAACTGCGAAGGCCTTGAAGCCATGGGTTGTGCCAGCTCGACCGTCGAGTCGGATGCAGGGAGCCCCAGGAGACATGGACGAGGGTGGGAGGCTCTTTGGGATGTTCCCCCTAGTAGTAGTAGTAGTAGTAGTAGTAGTAGTAGTAGTAGTAGTAGTAGTAGTAGTAGTCGTCGTCGTCGTCGTCGTCGTCGTCGTCGTCGTCGTCGTCGTCGTCGTCGTCGTCGTCGTCGTCGTGGTCGTCGTCGTCGTCGTCGTAGTAGGTAGTGGTGGTAGTAGTAGGAGTAGTAGTAGTAGTAGTCGTCGTCGTCGTCGTAGTAGGTAGTGGTAGTAGTGGTAGTGGTAGTGGTAGTAGTAGTAGTAGTAGTAGTAGTAGTAGTAGTAGTAGTAGTAGTAGTAGTAGTAGTAGTAGTAGTAGTAGTAGTAGTAGTAGTAGTAGTAGTAGTAGTAGTAGTAGTAGTAGTAGTAGTAGTAGTAGTAGTAGTAGTAGTAGTAGTAGTAGTAGTAGTAGTAGTAGTAGTAGTAGTAGTAGTAGTAGTAGTAGTAGTAGTAGTAGTAGTAGTTAGTAGGTAGTAGTAGTAGTAGTAGTAGTAGTAGTAGTAGTAGTAGTAGTAGTAGGTAGTAGTAGTAGTAGTAGTAGTAGTAGTAGTAGTAGTAGTAGTAGTAGTAGTAGTAGTAGTAGTAGTAGTAGTAGTAGTAGTAGTAGTAGTAGTAGTCGTAGTAGTAGTAGTAGTAGTAGTAGTAGTAGTAGTAGTAGTAGTAGTCGTAGTCGTAGTAGTAGTAGTAGTAGTAGTAGTAGTAGTAGTAGTAGTAGTAGTAGTAGTAAGTAGTAGTAGTAGTAGTCGTAGTAGTAGTAGTAGTAGTAGTAGTAGTAGTACTAGTAGTAGTAGTAGTAGTAGTAGTAGTAGTAGTAGTAGTAGTAGTAGTAGTAGTAGTAGTAGTAGTAGTAGTAGTAGTAGTAGTAGTAGTAGTAGTAGTAGTAGTAGTAGTAGTAGTAGTAGTAGTAGTAGTAGTAGTAGTAGTAGTAGTAGTAGTAGTAGTAGTAGTAGTAGTAGTAGTACTACTAGCAGTCCTGAGTAGGGATTATCATAAGGGGGTATAAAAATCTCTATGCAGGACTGTTAGTACTGACAGTCCTGAGTAGGGATGATAATTCAGGGTGCTATAGTCCTTGTTAAGGACTGTGGCCTTAAGTTGACTCACTGAGGTGGTGGTAGTGAAGCACAAGGTGACCAAGCCTTACCTGGAGCCTCCTATGAAGGCCCCAGCGCGCCGTTGGCTTCGAGTTCGAATTCGGGGGCTTAGGGTTTAGGGTTTCGGGTTTAGGATTTAGGGTTTAGGGTTTTGGGGAAAGGGGGTGGGGCGGGGGGCTAGTGGCTCTGACTGCAGAAAGACAGAGCAAGGGCAGTCGAGGGAAAAAAAGGTCAGCCATCGCCATTGCTGGCCGTAATCCCTAAACCCTAAACCCTAAACCCGAAATCCTAAACCCTAAACCCGATTCCTCGCGCTTGTGAGGGCTTCTTGCGCCGCCTAGCAGGCCCGGAAGCAGGTGTTTGAGGATGACGAGGAGATCATCACCCAAAGCACTAGCACGAAGGCAGCGAGACAGGGTTTAGGGTTTAGGGTTTAGGGTTTAGGGTTTAGGGTTTAGGGTTTAGGGTTTAGGGTTTAGGGTTTAGGGTTTAGGGTTTTTCGAACCTCGGATGTGGGGGTTTCCGAAGGTAGGGGTACCTTCTTGAGGTCCTTATATTGCTTGGGAAGTAGGGGTCCACTCGTTTCGTAGATCCTCACGGTTCAGAGTGTTCTAGCCGTTCCAAGTGAACCCTAAACCCTAGACCCTAGACCCTAGACCCTAAACCCCAAACCCCAAACCCCAAACCCTAAACCCTAAACCCTAAACCCTAAACCCTAAACCCTAGGCCTCAACCTGCTGCAGCGCAAGCACCTTGACGGTAGCAGCCTCAGTCCAGGAGATGCTGGGTGGTGTCCGGACTTTGGGGGTACCATGTTAGGGTTTAGGGTTTAGGGTCCTTATTATGAGGGAATCCTACTCTTTGGCGGTTTATATTGGGGGTCCCCTATCTTTGTAAACCCCCATTTAAGACAGAGCGTACCACGTGTCATATGGCTCACTTGTCGTCTTTCGACCCGTATCAAGGTATAAAGACATAACTTTGAAACAAGATGGCGCGTAAGACGTATAACATACAGTGCCAGCAGCAGCTAGCACTACTTGTGTTCTTTTCTCATGCGGCTGCTGTTACACGCTGTTCCCAGAGAGCCCAATACTCCTTAATTAAGGAATATACCTTAAATTATGAAGGGATCCTTAGTAGGATTTAAGGAATATTCCTTAATTAAGGGTTATTGGGCTCTTTGGGTTTCAAAGGAAGCGTTGATGGACATGGACTCGTCGTGGGAGTATGAGAAGACTCCGATCGCAGTGCCGGCCGCATGGTTGGGAAGAATCAAAGAAGCCCTAAACCCGAAACCCTAAGCCCTAAGCCATCCTAAACCCTAAACCCTAAACCCTAAACCCTAAACCCTAAACCCTAAACCCTAAACCCGAAACCCGAAACCCTAAACCCGAAACCCTAAACCCGAAACCCTAAACCCGAAACCCTAAAGGTTTCTTTGCAGGCTGAGGCGTGCCGCGGTGTGCCGCAGCAGGGCTACTTGCAGTGGAGGTTTGCGAAAATAGGGGACCCCAATATAGATCCCCAAATCGTAGGATCTCCTTATAGCCCTAAACCCTAAACCCTAAACCCTAAACCCTAAACCCTAAACCCTAAACCCTAAACCCTAAACCCTAAACCCTAAACCCTAACCCCTAAACCCCCATAAGGCACCCCTATTTTTCGGAGACCCCCCCCAAGTGATGGTTTGCAGTGACACTGGCTGGGAGTCGAGGCTGGCTTGGTCGTGCGCCGACCACCCACGCGACGCCTACACGAGAAGCATGTGCGCCACGGGGGGCCTCAAGAGGGCCAAATGGGGCCCAAGGGGGCTATAGAGGGGGCTAGAGGGGGAGCTCAAAGGAGCTAGAGGGCCAAAGGGCACTGAAGATCGGATCATTGCAGTCGGATGTTGGAGAGGATCTTGCGGGAAGATTGTGAGCCGAAGCCGTGAGAGGTGAAGAAGCTGGACTCGTTCTTGTCTGACGTGGAGCGTCAGCCGCAGATCCTGGGCGAGCTTGTGAGCAGCAGGCGCCTATGGAAGCCATTGGAAGCCTGTGTCTTGATGTAAGGGATTTGAGTGAAAGTCGTAGCGCATCCCTCGGTTCGGTTCAAGGGGCCCCTCAGCTCTTCAGCTCTTTGGGGGGGGGGGGGGGGTTGTGCAAGTTGAGCGCTTTCAGGCTGTTTGTGTGAGGTCTGGGTTTTAGGGAATGCTTTTGGAAACGCCAGAGGCGCCTTGGATTGGCGCATGAGACCGAAGACTGCAGACGCCCAGGCCGAGTATCGACGTTGATCATTGCAAGTTGCATGTGCATGAGAGGAACGTGTCTCCAGAACCTTAAACCCTAAATCTCAAACCTTAAAGACACCAGAGCTCACACGACTCGCTTCCAGACCAGGGGAGAGCGTGGTTTTGTCCTTCTGAGCGGCATCCTGTGCATGGTCTTATTTCTTTTCTCCGTGCGTAGGACGAGGGAGAGAAGGAAGAGATCCATAGTGGGAGGCGCCATGGAGGCGCCACCAGCAACTCCAGGGCAAAGTCCAGCACAATCCTCATAATAACTGCGTCCCTACTATTTGGGGGTCCATACTAGGGCTTATTATGGTAACCCCCCAT